TGACCAGCAAACACACCTTCTTTGCTGAATGGATCTGGCATAGAATGTGAGTCTTGCTGGAGTAATAACAAGCTGACTTTGCAATACAGTTTTAGTTCCATTAAGGAATTAGCCAGTATTTTTGCTTTTTATACATAGTATTAAGTTTTATTTATAAGATTTACAGACATTGATATAACCTTTTATCCCCACTGATATAACACTTTAATTAACCCCACCATGAAAGAAGACTGTGCCATGGAAATAGTATGAGTTCAATCATCTTGTTCCTGATAGTCTGCTATTTCTATCTATAGCTTGAAAAGCCTTGATTTTCTATTTCTATTTCTGTTTTTTTTTCTAGTTTATTTTTATGTGTCTTGTTCTATGCTCCATGAATCAAGGCAAAGTCACATAAGCCAGATATATGGGTAGGTGAATAATGCTTGGTAAATGGTTGCTTTATGTATTGAATTATAGTAAACACCAACCTACAGTTAAAGAATGCTTGAGTATATGTTCCTCTATGAATATACACATATATGCACAAATAAATTTCATATACTGTCTGTAGGAACACATGCTTACAGAACAACCAAAATAACAAAAACCAATATTCATTATGTGCTTACTGTCTTCAGCATTCAACACAAAGGCACTTTATATGGCATTATTTTAATTCACCCACATAACAATGTATAAATAGGTGCTATTGTAGTGTCTCCATTTTACCTTAAAACGAAACCAAGACCTATGAAGGATAAGTAACTTGCCCTTTATTACAAAGCGGGTGAATCTCAGAGCCAGGATTTGAACTCAGCTTCTCTGATTCTCTGTGTATACCCCAGGATATGTACAAAATTATTCATTGGTTTATGGGGAGGTAACATTAGAGCTAACATAGGTTTTATTTAAAATATGGGGCACCTGGATGGCCCAGTCAGTTAGCAGCAAACTCTGGATTTCTGCTCAGGTCTGATCTCAGGGTGGTGAGATCAAGCCCTGCATCATCAGGCTCTGCGCTCACCGGGGAGTCGGAGCCTGCTTGAAATTCCCTCCCTCTCCTTCTGCCCCTCCCCCTTCTTCTGTGCACACTCTGTCTCTAGAATAAATAAATATATATTAAAAAATAAAATAAAAAATAAAATATGAAAAAATTAGTCTTCTGAGATCAGACGAGATCGGGCACGTTCAGGGTGGGATGGCAAAGGCTTAATGTACAGGCTGATATCGGAACTTACTGGACCCTGGTATGCATATCAGATACATTACGTAATAAACTGCAAAGGGGGCAGCTTGAGGGGGCAGTGGGAGTCTTAAAACACAGTCTCTTAGAGAGTCTCTGGTGAGAAAGGATTCGAGACAATCCAGTTTGTTTTTTACAAAATAAAAAAATTCTGTAATAACATTTGAAAGCCTCTTTTCACATAATATGAGGAATACTTCTAATTTGGGCCACAGTTAAAAAACGGCTAAATAATACATGACAATATTGTGACAAACTGAATTGTATTTTTTATAAACACCTTTGAAGATATATATTAAAACACTGTTGAAGATTTAAAGAAACAAGTATCAAAATGAATTATACAGTGTAGAAAGTTTAGTACATGGTTGAAAGTCAGTAGGTTATTTTTAACTCATCTCAGCTTGTGGTTATTTGCTACATTCTTTTTTCCTGGTTTCCAAAGTTTATTAAAAATCAAAGAATAGAAAAACTTTACATGAAAATATGTCAGTTTTAGTTTCCATGTATTGCACATTTACACACAGATACACACATACACAGACACACACACAAATCAAGATGATATTGTTTAGCTCATCCTGTAGTGCATGACCGCAGTGGTGGCCAGGTCAATTCACTCGGGTCACCATGACGGGGATGGACCATGGCACCTGTGTCTGTGAACTGAGCTTTAAAAATTGCACACCCCAGGACACTCGTCCCATGGTGTTTCCTTAATTTAGGGTGACAGTCACCATTGATAATGTGTGGAGGTTAGCACAGGCCTATATATCAGTTTTTATAAATATTTCTTGATCAACAGATTCACAATTTAAGTATCTTTAAATATTTTTTAAATATTTAAATATTTCTTTAAATATTTCCATCACCAGGAACTGCAGACAACAATGGGCTACTCTATTCTGGATAGATTCTCTTTTAATAACCAAATACACAAATATGCAGCTTTCTCCTTCTTGTCATTAAATATTAAAAGAAAGAGGTGTCAGGGAAGATAAGTTCTTGGTAGCAAGTGGCATTCTAAACAATTAAAGCAAGGTTTTATGGAGGATTATGTTTAAATAACCAACAATGAAGTAGGTACAGTCACAAAGAGTATTTAAAAGGATTCCAAAGAAAAAATAAAAGGTAGCAAGAATCACAAGAAAAGCCTGGAACAACCTGTTATACTAGAAAGCTTGGCTAATGTGTACAAGGGGAGTCACTATACTTTTTTTTTTTTTGTATGTTTGAAATTTCCTAGAATTCAAAAGGTTTAAAATTTAAAAATAAGTGAGAAATAAACTGATTTTTAAAAGTGCCCTGAGTATGAAGAGAAGATATGAAAATGGATATTTAGAAATGTTTCCATGTTATATGGTTTTGCGAAACAGAGAGTTTATCAGTACAAAATTACCACATGAAAAACATTAAAAACAGAATCTTTCAACCTGCAAGTAAATGTTTCACTAACTTTTGAATGCTTTTTTTTTTTTAAAGATTTTATTTATTTATTTGAGAGAGAGAGAATGAGAGAGAGCACATGAGAGGGGGGAGGGTCAGAGGGAGAAGCAGACTCCCCGCCGAGCAGGGAGCCCGATGTGGGACTCGATCCAGGGACTCCAGGATCATGACCTGAGCTGAAGGCAGTCTCTTAACCAACTAAGCCACCCAGGCGCCCCTTGAATGCTTTTGTTAAAAATATAAAAGCACAATATCATCCAGTGAGTTTTCCTTAACAATATATTGACACATATACTACGTGAATCTTAATTAAAAACATTGCATTATTGGCATATGCAGTTGAAAAATGAGTGTCATAATTTACAAAGTCAACCATGCAATTAGCTTCTTCCATTTGGAAATGTGAAATAATTTTGAGGTGTATTTTTCAGCTTTGATCAACATTAAAACTAAGTATTACAAATAAGTATTACAATAAATTAAACTTAAAACCTGACCACTGAATCAAGGAACCACATAGTTTCAAATCACAATTCTCAACACTGAAGCATATTTACTCACGCTGCACTCATTAAATATATATATTTATAATAAGGTAGGGACCCCCATCGCACTCCATATATAAAAAAATAATTCAAAATGTATCAATGACCTAAGCATAAGAGCTAGTTAGAGGAAAACATGGGGGTAATTCTTCATGACCTTGAGTTTGGCAACACATTCTTACCTTTGATCCCAAAAACACAAGCAATAAAAGAAAAAAATGGATAAATTGGACCTCATCAAAATTAAAAACCTTTGTGTATCAAAGGACATTATCATGAAAGTAAAAAGACAACCTATAGAATAGGAAAAGTGTTTGCAAATCACATACCTGACAAGTGTCTAGTATCCAGAATACATAAAGAATTCTTACAACTCAACAACAACAAGATAAACAACCCAATTAAAAAACGGGCAAAGGACCTGAAGAGATATTTCTCCAAACAGATTTGCAAATGGAAAATAAGCATATGAGAAAATATTCCACATCATTGGTCATTAAGGAAATGCAGATCAAAACCACAATGATATGCTACTTCAGACTTAATAGGATGGCTATTAAAAACCAAACAGAACAAAACAGGAAAATAACAAGTGTTGGAGAGGATATAGAGAAATAAAAAGCCTTATAAGTTACTGGTAGGAATGCAAAATGGTGCGGCAGCTGTGGAAAATAATTTGGTTGTTCCTTGAAAGGTTAAACATAGAATTATCGTATGACCCAGCAACTGCACTCCTAGGTACACATCTAATAGAAATGAAAACATATATCTCCACAGAAACAAGTACACAAATGTTTACAGCAGCATTATTCATAAGAGCCAAAAGTTGGAAACAACACAAATGTCCACTGGCGAATAAACGGATAAGCAGATTATGGTATGTCTCTATAGTGGAATATTATTCAGTCATAAAAAGGCATGAAGGTACAGGCCATGACTTGGATGAACTTCAAAAAAATTATGTGAAGTGAAACAAGGAGGACACAAAAGGTCACAAAATATATGATTCCTTTTATAGGAAGGATCTAGAATTGATAAATCCATAGAGGCAGACCCTAGTGGTTTCCAGGAGATGGCGGCAAGGAGAAATTGGGAGTGACTATTAATGAAGGTGGGGTAATGAACTTTTTCTGGGGTAATGACAGTTTTGAAACTAAATAGAGGTGATGGTCATTGCATAACATTGTGAAAGCATGAAATTCCACTGAATTGTACACTTTAAATGGTTAGTGGTGTGTTATGTAAATTTCACCTCAATTAAAAAAACACAGTAACAATAGCAGTATAATACAAATAAAGAATATTGTGCAATGTTAAAAGATAAAGTAATTTTAAATATTAAATATTTCAGTTTTATCTTCTTTCATTTCTTTTTAAATATATATTCTTTCATATACATGTGTATGTGCTCAAAATTTTTAGAGACTAAGGTAACAATTTAGAAATCTGGATAGTGCTACTCTAGATCCAGGGTAATCTATAACTTGCAGGGTGAATCCATAGACATATTTAGTGTGCATTGGCCTGAATAATATTTTAAAATTTGTTTTCCATACTTTTGTGCACGTGATGCATTTTCTAGTCCAACATAATTCCTTCATACCTTAGGGTTTTATATTTTTTGTGATCCAAACATTGTTTCTTTCTCAACAGGGATCAAATAGGTATTTGACTTTTCAACCCTTCAGCCAGGGATTGAATTTATCTGAGATGGTTTTGCATCAACAATTCTTCTGTTCTTAATCAGCATTAAAAATGGAGTAAAAAAAAAGTGCCAGACTTACCCACACAGGGCAGGGAGTAGCCAAGCTGAGGGTCATGGATAAACTGCCGGTCATTAAGTCTTGTCACACAGTATAAGTAGAAACAGTCTAAGCAAATCACGTGGCGGTGGTTGCACTGAAAAACCAGGACAGGGCTCCTGCACAGAAAATGAAAGACATTTCCTCTAGTACTTCTAAGGGTGGAAAGGCATCAGGTGCTTTAGGACACTTTGTAATCATGTTGGGTTGCGTAGGGCATGCCTTGTGTAAAGACCTGCACCGCTCAGCATTGAGCACATATCCATCAAAGCTACATCTTAAAAATTGGATGCACTTCACTAACTATCTAAAACATTGATTTTCCTAAATTTATATTTTTATATTAACATATTTACCAATCAGCTGTTTAAACCCGAGCTCAGATATAACCTCTTTGTCGAAGTCTTCTAGAAGCCTCATAATTTGCAATTAACCCACGAATCACCCCATACATTTACATATATTTTTACTGATCCATAATGACATCATAGTATTGGTATGTTTCTCCTCTTACAGACTATGATCTCTTTGAAAGTAGATACTGTGCTTACTTTACATTGATATTCTTGTAGTACCAGGCATTGTAAGGTTTTAAATAAATGTTCCTTGAATTTAATTTTAATGACATATAAAATCTGAACTTCCCTAAAGCCATAAGAAAAACTACCGTTGTACCAAAATAGGTATGTTGAACACTCATATTTCATTGGCAAGCGGAAGAGTAGAATTCCGAAATAAAAATTATCTAGCAGATTATTTTCTGTAAGATTTTGTCTATTGTGTTACTCCTACCCCTTCCAAATATCCAATTTATTAAATTATTAGAGCCTACTAATAAATTGACATATATAAGTTCTAAAAATTTTATATTCCCTTAAAATGCTTTATAGGAAAAAAAAAAATCCCCCAAATAACCATGTATTTTTGCTAGCAAATGAACCACATGATTTTATGACCCAAAAAAAGGAGACAAACTGAATATATTAATTTCACATCAGCCCCAAGGACACTTTAATAGTAAGAAAATCATTGGAGCTTATCTAGATAAACTTATTCTCTGTATAATGAAACAAAATACAAAATATGTTTTTATTTCATACATGATTCTTAAGAGATAGAAGAGCTCTTTAAAAGCCCTCCCCCAGAAAAAAAAGAAACTGATATTGAACGTTAATAGTAGTAGAATACAATTGCTTAACAATTAAAAGGTTTTCAAAATTCTGCTTTCCCACTCATTTCAAAGCAATATCTAATATAAAACAAAACGAAAAAAAAATAACTTGGTATTTTAATGGCACAGGTCTATAGGGTAATGGTCAATTTAAGTTGAGCAAGAGTGTCCCTAAATGTTTTTATGCGCTTGTTTCTCATCTCTGAACCCACTGAAGTCCTTTCAGGGCCATCATTCCCATTTCCAGAGCCTTTTTCAATTAGGTATTGACTGTGTTCTGAACTTTCAACCCTTCCCTTCTAATAATGTTCTGCTTGAAGACGATAAAATATAACGCTGTCCCATTTCTATCCCAAGTCACACACACACACACACACACACACACACACACGCAAGGGCACCCATACCTTATTCACTCTGGGTGACCCTACCAAACTGCCGTATTCTACCTTCTCCTCAAAGCTAAGTTCTGCGAAATATATTCTCCATTCTGGTTTTAGCAACATGGTCGACTAAGCCTTTAGAGATCTCTAATCTGCTATCAACACAGGGAAACACTGGAGAAAATATTAGAACATTTATAAAAATGTTCTTATATGTAACAAGGTTAAAAAGAAAGCTTAGCAATTACCTTGCAGAAGAAATAGAAAGAAAACTTAGAAAGCCAAAGCAGTCAGCCCATGAACTACGGCCACCGTGTCCCAGAGAGACATAAAGGACATGGCGTGTGCAGCCACTGGCCCAGCAGGCATGTTCTTTCATGTTTGGACAACGCTGCACGTTTGTGGTTTGGCCCCTCAGTTAAAATATGGTCCGGAAGAACCTTAGGCCATGGAGACAACCCACAGAACGTCAGTTGTTCTACTCTACTGATGACATCCCTCTATTTAGAACAGATTAGAAAGAAATGGTAATTATGCGAGAGGCCACGGTGTGAGGGTAGCCTATGCAGATCCAGGGGCCCCCACATTAGGAAAGGTTTGAGAGGCCCAAGGTTTGGGTCATGGAGGGACGCACTCAACAAAGTAAAGGACACCGTAGTCCATCTGCCCTCCCTCCACTACACACACACACACACACACACAGATACAGCAGCACAAGGCAATCACAGGCCCTGTGGAAACACAGGCTCTGGTTCCCACAGAGTGAAGCACATCCTCGTGGGGACACAGGAGTCGTCCTACTGAACATTTCGCAGCAGCCTCACCAGTTCACTTCCGCCTCCTTGAACTGAGATCTAGGTGGGAGGGCAAACTGGCCAAGCTGACAGGACTACTTGATCATAATCATCGGGATGGCAAGAGTGGCTGCCGCACGCGGGAGCGGGGAGAATTCACGTGGCATCTGGCTGGTCCACGGGGACATCTCGTGGCGCTCCCCTCTGGAATTTTAATGGCAAATGGACAAGGCAGCAGTGAAGGCAGCATTGAGAAGTGCATGGTGACCAGGACCTGAGAGCCCTTATGATTTACCCGTTGCAGCAGCTAACACCAGTGACCCTTATTATTACAAAAATTACTAGACATCAAAAGGGCTTTAGAGCAAGTTTACCTGGAATAAAAAGTGGGTGAAATGAAAAGCAGGTAATAGCAGTTTACCAAAAAGCCAGAAGTAAAGGGCACTGGGCCCAAGAGATAAAAATGTGTTCAGCACTGGAAGTAAGGACAGAGGATCACATTAAGTCCCTTGAAGGAGGGCTCCTTCCTAGACACAGGGTACGTAGTGCAACCATGAGAAGCTAGAGTGTCAGTGACAGGAGAAACCACATGCTTGTTTCTACACGTCCGCTTTGGAAAAGAAAGAAACTTAAAAGCCTTGCCGGGAGTTGCAAGTATAGATAAGTCACTCGGGAATTCTCACCATCCATCACTATCCATATGCAGTGAATTTAAATATACACACACAGACTGAGATATGCAGAGATATAAAATAAACATGTAGAAAAAATATGTATGTTGATGATACACAGATATGTTACACATATAGATGTAGCTAGTATGTGCATATATTCACATAGAATTATCAGTCTGTTGGATTTCTTGGAACAGTTTTGAGATAAGATTGCTCATCTGTTATTAAGAATATTTAGAGTATTTAGGAGAAAGGTGACGGATAAGCATGATAGCCAGAAAAACATTATTGGATTAATCATCTGAATCATCTGAGAAAATGAGTGAGAATTATTTTATGGCTGGAGGGACCACATAATTAACTTCCTAAGCACTAGGTAAGAGGAAGGCAGGAAAAACTAGGATTTATGATCACTGCTTTGGGTTGGGTACCTTGCTAGGAGCTTCACAGACGTTCTTCCATTGCAGCCTCCTAAAATAAAGTGCCTCTGCTCTGCCCACGTCCTGTTCCTCACTCTGCCTCCAACTGACTTCTGGTTCTTTAACTCCTGGGCTCTTACTCCTTGTCACCCATTCTTCAGTATCATACTAGCCTTCCTATTCAAATCAAAATTCCAAATTGCTGGGTCCAGTTCAAGACAAGACCTCTAAGGGACTTGCCCTGGAGCTCAATTGCTCACTGGTTTTTCTCCTTTCTTTATCTCCTCCTCCACAGAGTCTTTCCTAATGTGCTTCAGATACTGCCCTCCCTTCTATTCCGAGTGTTTCAGAAATGGCTCTCGTAGCTCTCAGCATCAAATGAAAAGTCTTGAAGTGACAGAGGCAATACTCGATTAACACTTTCATGACCCACGTCTCACCATATTCGGCAGTGAGCACATGACAATTACGTAATCAACAGTCACTGACCACACCAGTGGCTCAAGGAACAAAATGTTATTTCACAATTTCTCTGCTCCCATCCTTATATTTTTTACTCAGTTACTCACTGAGCATCCACTTGGGCTAAAGTAGGCACTTAATAAACACATGTGGACTACAGCAGCATTGTTAAGTGCTGTAAGCATTGGGAAAAACACAACACTGTCAGAGGCCACAGTCTGGGGACACAACATGTGTGTGGAACCGGTATTAAAAGGAGGCCTATGTGGTCATCAAACTCTGGTGCCACAGAAAGTTAGGACAGCACAGAAGTATGCATCAAGGTTAGGGAACCTGAGCTGAATTTAAGGGGATGGAGGATCAACATGGGGTCCCTGGAGACAAATGTGGTTTCTGGGCAGGGCAGGAAACACAGACGTGAGAAAGAATTCTTGGAACGGAAAAGCTATCAGTTCAGCTGCCTGAGAGGGTGTATCAGGAAAAGAGAAGAGATGGAAAGGTTTGGGGACAGTTGCAGGGTGACGTGAGGAAACAGGCCTCCAGGTCATGGGATTCACTGAGGTTTCTAAGGATGGGAAGGGAGTGATGTTTTAGGAAGTTTAATTCTGAGGCACATGTGGAGGAGAACAAGCTGGAAGGTGTAGGAACTATTTGGAGGTCATTTTAATAACTCAGGCACGAGTTACTAAACTAAGGAAGCAGACTGCGGTGTGCAGGTGGTTCTAGAAATGGACAAGGAGTGATGTTTCTGAGGAAAACCTGCCAGGACTCCTCTTCTCTTGGGTCTTCATTCCTCCCGACTTTCCTCTGTGCCCTTTGCTCAAATTATATATAAATGTTAATTGATCAATCTAGAAGACGGTTTTACCCCAGTGGGCCAGGCTACAGAGCAGTTAATCAAAGGTTAAATAAAGTTCTCAGTCATATGGAAAAGGAATTATAAATGCTGTACTTGACATTACTGAAGAGTTTTCTTATTTTTTAAGATCAACAACTTTTATTATAATTCAGGTATCTCAGAGAAACCGTTATGTAGTGAACAGGGTAATATGAAAAGATATTTCAAAACTGCAGGTTTGAACATGTTGCTCTGGTTCCATCTGGAACAGGCTCTCCTCCATCAGGCACAGCAACTGCCCTTGTCTGAAGCCTTCCCACAGATGCAGCTCTGGGCACACCTGACTCCACCGACGGGCAGCAGGCCTGGCAGCTCTTC